TAGTGCATTCATAATAACTCAACGTTGTTCAAACGTTAATGTGCATATTCACAATATCTCCCAGCCTTGTTCAGTTGTAAACACGTAAAAGAAACACAGTCTGATACCGCTAATTCAAACGTTAGTGCATAACTCAACATTGTTCAGTTACGTATAACACGTAAAGCTCACTTTTTCAGTTCATTCCCCGTCCACGAATCCCTCGAATTCTTCTTCTTCAGTGTCCGAATTGAACAGTTGGGCGAGTACGGCATCCAACATGCCCGGCTCCCTCTCGTCATTATCCGAGTCAGTGTCGCTGAGCGCCGTGTACAACCAGTATGGATCAACCAATTAACCAATTGATCCATATATAAGGCGCTCCGGATTATAAGGCGCACTGTCATTTTTTGAGAAAATTAAAGGCTTTTAAGTGCGCCTTATAGTGCGGAAAATACGGTAGTCGTTTAAAGATTTGGTACTTTTCGAGACTCTTGATAATTAAAATAGCAGAGATTGTGTTTTTTTTTCAAACATGTGGTATCAAACATCTGATAACCTGCCACACACATTCTTTGGTTTGCTGTCTGTCTTTGTGACTGCCTCTAGGAGCAGAATCAAAGAGCAGACATGTCGATGAAGGAGCAAGGGCGATGAATGAAGGAACAAGAGAAAAGAAAAAAACGAAAGGAGAGGAGAGCGGAGCTGAAGAAAGAATAGGAGAAGCATCGTCTGGAAGCTGTAGTTCAGAATCTGATAATTGGATGATGAAGCTTAGTGTGAGTGCTGAGTTAGTGGGTTTGCTCTTTTTCTCTCACTTACATCTCACTGTGCTGCACTGTGAGACAATGAGCGCTGCCCTACAGAAAAGTATTACAGAGACCATCTGGCTAAGCAGGACACACACACACACACACACACACACACACACACACACACACAGATAAACGTAAATACGTCAGCAATGCAAAAGTAGAGCAATAGTGACCATGAATGACCACATCATAACTCCTCGCAGCTGACATTATTGCACTGTTATATTAAAACATTCAGACTATTGCATGCCCTGGACAGCAGCCACCTCACAGAGAGGGAGGCGTATGGTGTGTCCCTCCACGACCCAGATTCCACCTTTAACAATATGTCGGCATGTGGTCTCTGCCCTGCTGAAGTATCCATTAGAAAATCCCTGAATCCCTGCAGGTTTTAGGCATGCTGTTCTGTGGACGGATGGAATATCCCTCCAAGAAATAATTAGTGAAAAGAAAAGCAAAGGTGCGCATCTCTCTTTAAGAGAAGATCTGATTCAAACCTTGGTACATAGGCTGTGATGCAATATATGAATTAAAGCCAATTTAACTTTCATTATTTCTCTATTTCTGGTCACAGATTAGGCCGTCAAAATGTCAAATCCTTGGATATTTTTTGATACCACGTGTTTTACAATGACACAGTCTCCGTTTGTGAGTACATCAAAGAGTACAAAACCTTCCTCCATTATTGCCAATGTATTTTCATACTTTAACAGTGTGCAGGAGAAATCACTTAGTATCGGCTTTTGAGGTGATCAGCCAGTGGGGGAAAAAGTAGCCAGCCCCTCCCCCCTCGAGAAAAATGTTGTCCATAAAAGCCCACATTTGGTGTCTTCTGCCACATATCAAAGCCACAGTCCCATTTTATACACTAATATTTAATATACTTTTTACTTTTTGTGAGTTCGCTGACCCGATTCTTAACAGTTAGGGAATCATTGCAAAGGAGAATTAGGCCCTTCTGTCAAATAAGGGTGGGCTTGTAAAATGTTTTGCTGTAGGAAGTCCAGCAGTTCCTCAACAGTGCAGGATTCATTGAAACATAGTGAGGCATATGTAAGAGGAGGAGGGGGGGTTGGGGTGTCCTCCCTCAGGAAATATTAAGCAACCAACAATTCATTCTGGTGAAGATTAATGCGACACTCGGTGGGGGAAAGGTAAATAGTTTAAATGAAAACAGCACGTTATTGCATAATTGTTCAAAACAAATATTACTTCCTGCATGAAGCTCAAGTCGTTGTTGCAAGCTTTAATCACACAGAAACACTGAGTAGTTTAATACAAAACACACAACTCATGAGAGAATTCTGTTTCCTGATCTAACACCTGTATTAAATGAAGACTTTCAGAGTTTAAACCCCAAGTGACAAACCTTACATTAAAAGCCAAACATGAAATGTATGAGAACAAAGAGATAAATTCAATGGTTATAGTGCACAGAAACATTTTTAATTTAAATGTATTCTAAGTTGATACACTGTGATATAAATTAATTTTAATACACCAGCACCCATATAGACCTCCTACTCATTACAATGTTCATTCAAAACAATGAGCAGGATGTTGTATAAATGTAGCTTTTTAACAAGGCTTGATTTTGGCTCACACAGAGTTCCCTTTCCAAAAATGATTTGAGAAGTGGCTTCCAGCTGAGATGAAAACAAACAAACTGTTAAGGTGTAATAGCTTCTGCGGATCAGAGCCAGAGATGAGAAACTGTGAATAGTCCAGAGTGACTCTCTTAAGGATGCAAAACAGGAAAGAGAGAAACGTCCAGGGAAGGAACTCCCTGCAGACAACACCAAAAATCTGTCTCAGATCTGAGAAACCTGTGGTGATACCACATTTTCCACCTATTTTTTCCTCCTAATTGAGCTAAAGAATGTGATCAAGCTGTGATTATCGTCTTCATAATGACATCCTGTATTTTCTTTTTTAATTTGCTTTCACATGATAAACGATCCTGTCCTGCAGGACTTACTGATGAGAATGAATACACATTGGCCCACATTTTTCCAGGCCTGAGGCTGCACCTTTTGGTTGTCTTTGATAAATATTTGAATTTAGAGCCATCAAATAATAATACAGGCCCTGTGTGTTAGAGTGTGTGTGCACAGACGCACACAGACAAACAACGGGAGATCAGGGTGAAAGGGCCCTCTGGTCCTCAGTGACCTTAATCTTACTTTCTTCACTAGGTACAGAGCTGATTTGGCTGTTTGAGAGATACATTACACAACCAAAGTCAGTCTACAGGCGAAGGACAGAACAGGCATGCCGGGTCAAGGCCAAGTGTGCCAGTGTTTCTATTTTAAGGCACACTGATGACTTATTTAAACCGTCCAGCCCTCGTGACATCAACAACACACACAACGTCCCAGCGTCTGGCTGAGCAGACTCTGTGCTTGTGCTGATGCAGCATGCACAAACACACACACACACCCACACTCACACACACACACACACACACACACACACACACACGTCTGGCTGCACAGTATGTATATAAATACACATGTACATGTTTCTGCACTTACAGCGAGCTTTGAAATGCTGTTTGTTTTGCATCGCTCTCTGCACGTCCCTTTGGAAAATGACAGCTTCAGCCAAACCTACATGTGTCAATCAGCTGTGAGTCAAGCCAAGAAAGCACTTGAAGGAACAATCGCTGAATGTGACTGTAACAGTTTTTCATCTTTTTTGGCAGTTTGTGTTGCAGGGGGGGGGGGGATGACGAGGCGCAGAGCGAGCCGGCCAGAGAACGCACGAATCCCGACAGCCAACAGCGTCGGATGCTGACTGTTCCTGCATGATCTTATGCGTGACTGAGTGATTAACTCGGCCTTGTATGTGGGCATGTGAGAGTGTATGTGCCTTTTATGTTGCTATGGTAACTTTGGGAGTAGGTTGGGGTGCCCCATGGAGAACACTTTCAGCTTGCAACGAGGCCAAAAGTCTCATAAGAGACCGACGCGTATTGCTGTGCCGGTTCAAGTCCACAACACACTGGACAACAGCTGGACAACATCTGTGTGCTCATCTGACTGTGTGTGTGGAAGCCTGTATCTGTTTGTGTCTTCTATCTATGAGCATTAGAGCAAAAAACATGAGCATAATTTGGCGGATAATTCGGGACGCTGTCCAGTCCTCTCTGCCTCCCCCCCCACTGCTGACGGCCCTGGAGTCATTCCAAGCTTCCCGCTAGCCTGCGTCTGTTGCTGCAGCCTTAATGCCCTGCCTAGTATTAACACGCACAGAATAACAAATGTAATTAACTCGCAGCCAGATTTTAAACATAACAGAAAAGGGCCAGTGGTGAGAGCCGAGCGAGCAGTAAGGGAAGATAATGGACATAGAGATTTGCAGTTGAAGACAGCTGCAGGAAGGACTGTTGGGGCTAAGAAAGGGAGGAGAGAGCAAACAGGAAATAGATGAAAAGGTGAAGATATAAGCCGGCTCTCAGTGGAGTTCCCCAGAGCTAAATGTAGCTGCGTGTGAATAATTTAACCTTACGGGAGAGCCCCAGAGGGCCAAGTGAACATCTGGAATAAGATGCATCAGGGATGATCCGTCCCTCGCACTAATTAGAGTGCTCTCCTGCTCCATCACATTATAATTATCGGGCATTAATGACTACATGCTTTTTGATTTTTGCTCAGTGTCATGTGGACTTTTTGGACAAGCTGTTATTTCTCTCTGCCGCTGCTGTTAAAAAAAGAGAGAGAAACTTTTCTGCATCATGGGGTCATTTTAACCTGTTGATAGTGTTCATCCAAAAAAGTTCACGATGAATAGCCACGGCAATTTAAGCCCTCGCCAAACTTTCCATGCCGATTTCTGTTGAATCAAGGTTAACAAGAGACTGATTTCCACTTTTCTGGATGACAGAACTCCAAAAAGCTCAAGCGCTATGAGTGCAGCTGCTCCTGAAGCATGCCCTGTTCAATGTAACACACATACACACAGACACACACTTGAACACACCAAAAGGAAAAAAAGTATGAACACGCTCTTTACACTCGAATGCACACAAATAATTTGCCCATCACAGAAATTGAACAAATGGCTTTTCCCATTCGCTCTGTGCAGGCAAAGAATGTCAAAAACCAGAAGAAGTTAAGCACAGACAGACTAGAGAGTTGGTCTGATCCTCACTAAATAAACAAGTCGGAGTGAGTGAAAAGGAAAAGCTGACAAGGCGTTACTCACCTGTTTCCAGTTGTCGTAAATTATGACTTTGCTGTCCTCCTCGTCCACTGTCACGTTGCACTCGTAGCCTTCACCTGCCGGCAGAGACACACGTCACACACGTCAGCACACTCAGAGTGATGAAAAACAACCAGCTCACACTGTCTGACACTTCCATTCAAACCTGGGTGCAACATGAAAATATGGAAGTTTGCAGCACTGAGTCTAAGAAAATTGCAGTATTGACTAAATGTCAGTGGTTTAACTGCTGCCTAACAAAGTTGACAAGCATATCTAGGTTTTACAATTGATCTTGACCTACTCTGGAGACCTTCAATCAGTTTCCTTAAGGAGTTTAAATTGGGTCGTGTGGCCACCTGTCGAGTTTTGAAAGTTGCTGCAACCAATTTTAGACATATGATCCTTATTTCTATCAGGACACACTGTGTCCTTCTAACTTGAAGGATATAACTGAGCAGTATTCTTTCAAACATCAAGCTCAAAGCTGGTTTCCTATCAGTACTGCAGATGTAAGCCTTGAAAGAAATGAGCACAGATATTTTCATCATTCAAAAAGACTCAGTAATTTCCTAAAACAGATGGGCAGTTCGGTTTCCAGCAAAAGATTCTCATTCTGGGGTAAAAACTGGATTTGTTTTGGACTATTTCTAGCAGATTAATGTTATGCATTTGCTGAAATTTCAAGTTTTTATGGCCACAGGACCAGGGTCTGGTCAAGCACTTTTAGGACCGGCGTGGTGCAACTGGGGCACTGACTTATGCAGGGGTGGCCTGAAGTTTGTGAGCACACACATGAATGAAGAGCATTTCTTTACGCTTTCTTTTTCACTAATTACATCAACTTTTATGTAATACAAGGTAATGGCAACATAAACATCTTCTAAGCTTAATTAGGGGCATAGGGTAGCTGTGGCTCAGTTGGTAGAGTCATTGCCTCTCAACCAGAAGGTCAAGAGTTCAATCCCTAGCTGAACAAGTCTGATGTGTCCTTGGGCAAGACACTTAACCCTGAATTGCTCCCGCTGTGGTGTAAAAGCACTGTGAGTCATCAGAAGACTAGAAAAGCACTATATAAGCTCAAGTCCATTTCCCATTTACCAATTCTTTAAGGACTCAAAACAATATGTAAAGGGTTAGGGTCATCTGCTCACTGAAAACTATGAGCTGCCTTGTTGCAACACAGACTGAGTGATGGATTTCAACATAAGTCCCACCTCTGGTAAGGCAAATAACCAATAATAGTCAAGTATTTTGCAATGGCACTTGGCACCCTCTGGTCACGCCCCTGCACAGGATGTTACATCTCAGTTTGACTTAGAGTCAGGTCCCACGATCATTGTAATAAAGGAAACTATCTACCTGTGCAACAGTGTGCGATTGAGTTTCTTACAGTTTTTCAGGCAACTGAGAAGCTCTATGACACATAGGAATAATTATGGCTTTTCATGACATTTGTCAACCATCGTAAAAAATAAGTTTGTAATGACAGAAAGCTTTTGAAAAATGAATCAGGAATCTACACTTACGTGATAAGGTATACTGTATAAAGGGTGAAACCTAAAAATGTTGTGAACTAATTAATTGTACTGTGAGCTGAATGCACCAATACAGCCCGAGAAAATCACGCCCTAGAGAGGCCGCTTTTAAATGAAACCAAATGCCTTGAAAAATAGTTGAAAAATCAACCCTGATGAATAATATCTATATTAAGGTACGCGCAAATCTCCTGGTGTTAATCATCACTGTCATTGACTGACAATTACTTGGTGAGGACACGTATTGATTAGTCAGGTGTTACACGGCTCACAGAGCAAAGGTGGTGCTGCAGCATCTGTTCAAAACTATCATCAAAGTGTCAATTAAATAGGTGTTGATTAGTGTTTTTTGACACTTTGCAAATTTGATGTGTAGCGCGTGGAATAATTTAGCACGTTGATCAAATCCAAGATGAGGACGAGAGCACAATCTTGGAAATGTGTAGGCCTACTAGCTTCTTGGATGAGAGGGCTTCTTTTGTACATCTATGATGCATGAATCTGAGTGTAGTACATGAGCAGTGATGAATACTGTATGGTGTGAGTCAGGGGCACGTCAGCTTTGAGCATGAGGGGGGAGTAGTCAAATCTCTCAGTGACACTGACTTATTGATTTGGTGGGTATAGGTTGAGGTCCAGAACTGATTACCCTTTGTGCTGCAATGAGATTTTTGACAGCAAAACCTATACTGGGAAAATATGATTAAAGTTGTTTTTCACAGCTTTAAAACGGAACAAGCTAAATTGGAGAACAAGCTGTCCGTTGATTAAGTATTCACCTACTTTGGATTTTTCCACATTTTCCGTTCTCACTACCTGAAACTGGATTTACTTATTTTAGCTTTTTTTTCCTGAGTGAATAATTGATAAATAAGCCATATAGAGGCAGGCAGAAATCTAATGGATGCGCAAGAAATAACCTGAAGGCAATTTGTTGCACTCCATCAAAGTAAGGCGTTCCACAGCAGAGCATTTAAAGCTTTTCATACCTTTATTCATTTAAAATTTGCACACCAAGTTATTTTCCAAGACAACTTAAAATATGCTGGACCCTAAGAAAGATGGGTTAATATTCAGCAAGGCACTGTTTGGTTATTCCTTTTTTTGACCAGAGATGATAAGAACAAAACCACTCTCACATCTGTTAGCTAAATATGGGGCTACAGCTAGCGGCTGGTTAGCATTGCCCAGCGTTAGGACATTTTAGTAGCTAACATTTTGAAGTTTTAAGCCTTTTTTTTTTTTTACATATTTGACAAAGTAGATGTAAAATATATATATATAGATTTTTTTGTTTAGAGGGACTGTTTGGCAGATTGTGTTGGCCAGAGCTTGGCTAGGTGTTAGCTTTCCAAATACGCTAACTGGCTAGCTCAGGTCACTAATTTAGCATAGGCTACATGCATAAGAGTAGTGTCAATTAGTTCATCTAACTTTTATTAAGTATTTTAATGAAGCTTTCAGAAAAATGAAACCTTATGTTCTGATTTAAAAGGATTCACATGTGTGAATGTTAGGTGGACATTAACAAGGAAATCACACTCCGCTTCCCCTTCCAGGTCTTTACCGCATGCTTGTGTCTCAGAGTCTATAGAGAGTGATCTGTCAGACTGCCCGGCCAGCGATAAGGCGAGCGACGACTTCCCCACGCCGGTCTGTCCCAGTAACACTATCCTCAAAGCCCCACCATGGCTGTGGTAAGACGACTGGGCAGCTGCTAATTGGCTGAAGGACTCGTCCCGAGGGACCCCTGTGTCACTGATCGGCAACATGGCAGGTTCATCCAAACCCGGGATCCAATCGCAGTCGTCGGACACTGCCTCTTCCCTCCGTAGCTGGTGTTTGACAGGAAGGGGTGTGCTGCCACGCCGTAGGGGGGGCGCCGTCGTGAGAAACATACTATACTGGAAAGTAACAAACAAGTTTAAGTGTAAAATGAGCCAATAAACACATTAAGATTTTTTTTCCTTTAAAGCAGGCAATTGTAGAATCCAAAGAGACTACAGATCTACCTGTAACACTGTCTATTCTGTGTTTTCACTAAGGAATGGGGGAGGGGTGTTTCCACTGTGTGTGCAAAGAGGAGGGAGGTGATGTCAGGAGAAGGTGACACAGATATGTGGTAGTGTGATAAAGATGCGGATGAAGACCCACGGCATGTCAAAAGGAAACTTAAGGGAGAAGCAGTGAGGCATGGCATGTGTGTGCTGCAGAGGGGTGTATAATAAGGACATAAATGTGGTCAGGTGAAGCTAAACTGTAAGCTAGAGTTTGTTCACAGAGCATGAATTCACATGAAAATAGGTCATAAAAATATGAATTCTTGATCTCTATCCTTAGAGATTTAAATAGGAGAACGCAGTCAGCAGTTTTCTCCAGAACAATAGTTACAAGAATTGTGTATGTGTGAGTAAGTGTGTGTGTGTGTTCCATTTGCATAATGTGTGGGCACGCAGCCCGAGCAGGTCAGCCATAGATGGCCCTCATCAATATTAATGCTGCAATTAATCCAGCTCCAGCCGCACCCTTGGGTGTCTATGGCCTCGCCTCTGCATGTGGCAAAGCTAAGTAGAGTACTGATGCTTAATTAAATGGGAGGGAGACAAAAACATAAACACATTAGGATATAATGTAGTCCAATTTAGCATCCTCAGAGAAGAGAGTCTCATAGATAACAAAGAGCTGAATCAGCAGCTCTATGGCACAGTGTCAGCAAACGATGGAGATTTTAAACTTCACAATGTCAGGGTTTATCTCAGGGCAGTTGTACTATATTGGGTTGTATTGTTGCTTTATATAGGTGCAGCTAATGAGGGTGTAACTTAGACTCCTGGAGCAGCGATACATCAGTTTGACTTATTCTTATAACATCCTTAAAAAACATCATAATTATCTTAGACTTGTGTAAGTATTAGATGTTGTACATACTTCAAAGGCAGTGACATATGGGTATATGGCACAGGTGTATATTTACAGAACAGTACACTAGAGTATCATAGAGTGTACTTTTGTTTGCCAATTGGTAAAGGGTATTGTAGTGTATTGTTTTCCAATACAGTATTGTGCAGTTTATTAATGTACTGTGTAGTGAAGTCTAGTACAGCATATTTTAGTACTGAGAACAACTGTGATAAGTTGTAATAGTGATACGTATTGCATAGTGTAACGTTGTTTATCTACCATAACCCTAACCCTATAATATAGCAAATGCTTATATTTTAAGATGCAATAAATTTGATACATCATTATGGACTGTTGTGTATTATTTCTTATAAAGTATAGACTGGTATAGTACGAATATTCATTTATTTAATTATCTTATAGTGTATAGTTGTACAGTATGGCTATACAAGTATATGATATGGGTGGTGTGGTGTGGTACAGTACGGTACGGTACGGTACGGTATGGTGTAGTATAGTATGTTGTGTTATAGTTTATGTTATTATGGCAACGCATGGTATGGCAGAGTAATAATAATAATAATAATAATACTTTTATTTATATAGCGCTTTGTTGTATAGTATAGTGTAGAGTATTGTGGTGTAGACTAGATAATTGTAGTGTAATATAGTACTGAGTCTTATGCAGAAGTTCAAAATACTGCAGTTTCTTCAGCGTCCACCTGAGGTTGGCTCCAAAAGCCCTGACAGTCCCATACACACCCATACTTAATTGACAGCAGAATAAATAACATGTTTTTACAGCCTAGTACAAAAACAATTCTGGGTAACGTCTCTCAGACAATATATCCATGTTTTTCTTACAGTCTATGGTCAAATTACTTCAAGTCATATATTATTGTAATATAGTTTAGTACATTTTAGTATATCATTTTAAAGTATAGCATTGTTTATTTTAGTATAGCATGGTAATGTTGAGTGTGTCAGTAGAATGACACTGTATGGCATGGAAAAGTGCAGTGTGGTGTATAACCTATTATAATTTAGTGAAGCATGGTACAGTGTAGTGAAGTATAACATATTATAGTAGCCTATAGTAGCCTTGAACATATTTTATTTGTAGCATGTTTGGTAAAGTACACTATAGAATCATGTGGTGACTTCATAGTATAGGGCACCCTTGTGTTATTTTTTGCACATGCAGTTGAGGTGTGGCTGCTTGTGACACAGATAAAGCTGCATTCACCCCTTACACACACTGCCAAACATCATTCACACAGGCTCACTGAGGTAGCTCAATTAGGTTAATTGAACATACTAATCAATTAAGCATGGCCTTTATAGTTAGCAGCACTCTGGGGAGCTGTACATGCAGAGACAGGAAACTGTGACCGCGGGCTGAGCCGGCGTGTCAGGGGTTAATCTGCTTCTCTAGCCAGGCTGTCGACAAAAAAACTAGGGCAAACAACAGTGCACAATACAAAATTAATACTACAGGCAGTGTTTTTATTCCCCTCTTGTTACAGCCCGATTACACTGACTGCCGCTCCGCGTTCATGTGTCTTAAGCACTTTTTTCTCCCAAAACATGTTTACAGTTGAACTCATTATGGTTCATTATAGAGGATCTGTGAAGTAGTCCTTGAGGGCTGAGAGGGTCCACCTATAGAGAGAGACAGATCGATGGATCGACCACCTTTAATAACTGTAACCCTGGTCAACACATCACAGACAGATTCATTGACTCAGCTTACAATAATCTTATTAGAGGTTACTATGAAGTCACTGTTGAGCACAGACAAGCTGTCAGTTAATAAATCATGTTTTGGAAAAAGATGAGAAACGCTCCAGATTCTGACCTAAATATCCCCACAAAGAGAGTGTGGCGGACAAAATCCAAAGTACGCTGCATAAAAACACAGATTAGATCTCGTGTAGTCTGGGTTACCTGACGCGCGCTTGTGTGTGTGTGTGTGTGTGTGTGTGTGTGTATCTATAATTGTGCAGAGCGCACGCTGGCTTTAATGGAGGTGTACAATAAAAGTCGCCTTACCTGGTCAGCCATGGTTATCAATAAGTCTTCTTTATGGATCAAGTGTTGTTGTAGTTGCAGCTGCCTCCACCGCCCGGTTCAAGTCATGTGTGCCGGCATCACACTCATAACGGCGGTAACGGACGGCGCACAAAAGAGACGCACCACATTTCATCTAACATGATGTTTATCGCAAAGAACAGGCGCGTAAAACCCTCCTCTGGTGACAGAAAAGGAGAGGTAGGGCGCATGGAAAATTGGCAAAGGTGGTGGTGGTGGTGGTGGTGGTAGTAGTAGATGGAGGGTAGATAAAGAGGCTACACCTGTGTCTCCGTTTGCAAGAGGAGGCGAGCTCTTAAAGGAGGAAGAATGAGGAAAGCCATCAGCACAACAACACATCCCCTCCTTTCCTTTTAGTGTCCCAGTGGCCAGCAGCGTCTGCGCTTCCCTCCCCACCTCCAGTTGGTACCTTCACTTCTCTCTCTCTCTCTCTCTCTCTCTCTTTCTCTCTCTCTCTCTCTCTCTCTCTCTCTCTATCTCTCTCTCTGAGTGTAAATTGGGGGCGCGTCCTTGAGTCACTGTGTAGTGATATATGGGTTGTGTTGGAGGTGGAGGAAGGGATTTTGAAGGTGGAGGAGAGACCGTCGTCTCCTTCCTATTGAGTAAATATCAGCTCAGATGTGCAGTTTTCCTTCAGATGTGTTCCTTTGTCAAACAGCTCTGTGGGCTTTTCCCGGTGAGATCTTTTTTTAAGACAATCAGGTTTTGAAGCTGTGAAGTGACGTCACCGCCAGAGGGAGCCAGAGAAATGCCTCTTGGATAGTGCCACAAATGCTCTCAGTGGATGTTTGTTAATATGAATGAGGGTGTTAGTGCTACCCTAAATAACAGAGTGGATTTTATTTTACTAAGACTGCTTACAAACAAAAATTAATGATACAAAATAGCTGGTCAATTGTTTTATTACTTTTCTCCAGGATTCAAATTGGCATTTCACATATTTCCTCAGAGTTCAGTTTACTTTATCTAGCCAATGTATTTTTTGTAATGTTGTTACTGAGCTTTCAGAGAACTGTTTGGGTTTAACCTGCTTAGGAATAGCTCCTTAGTGTTGTAAACCATAATTTAATAAACATTAATAAACATTAAAGAATAATCGGTCACACTTTATAATAACCATCACCTATAAAGGGTAATAGATAGTTAATTAACATGAGTTAATGTTATTTACTGTTAACAAACACTGAAATGATAGTTAATAATGTCTTCTAATGATTTGTAATGCTATAATTTATGTTATGTTAACAGTTTATTGATGCACACATTATAACATTTTATACACTTTATGAAGCATTTGTTAATGATGACCAAATGATTTATAAACCTTTAAGAGATGGTTTATAAACATCTATAAACATTACAGAGATACATGGACCAAATATTTGTTCATGGTTTGTAAATATTTTATAAAGCGTCTATTAACATTATTTGGATGGTTATTATAAAGTTGGAACTGAAGATTATAATCCCTTACTGATACTTTGTAAAGCATCTATAAATATTTTTTAGATAGATCATTAATATTTTATCAATGATTAATAATTGGTTTGTTAACCATCTAAAAGCATTATCCACGCATGTTTGTGCGCCCCGTTAAATGTTACATAGATGACTGATAGAAGATAATTTTTTGCACACCAATAACAGTATTGAAAACACTATATTTTACAAACCTTTAAGTTAATGTTGACTAGAAGGAGACCATCAGAAAACTCAGGGGGAATCACACCAGGACCTGCTAAGAGATCACCTTATTGTGATAGAGTGGAACGAATGGCTGGGTCAAAAACAATATAATGTTTCTTTAGGACGCCTGCTTGATGATATAGCCCACCTTTAACTATGACACTTTAATTTTAAAAACATATTACAAACAACTATTTTAAAAATAACATATGTAGTGGAGGTGTAACTCAAGATATAAAGTTATTGAAAGATGGTTAGAATTCCTTTTATGCCTAAAGAAGATGATTGAAACATAACAAATACAATCATATCTAGCTGTCTGATCAAGTCACTACTAAGGGTTACATTTTTGTTGTTCTTTGAGTGATTTGATGAGTTTGTAAGTGAGCCAATCGGTGAACCTATAAGCTAGCCTTCGCCCAAGCTACTCCTTCTTACTCCCGCGTTCGTTCGCTCTTTTGCCGCTGTAACATGAGCATGAGAGATGCATTTACCCACTTGGTGAGAGGATAAGTAATATTTAATGAAATCGAACTAATTCTAAATTGATATTGCCCATACTGAGGAGCGCTGTGCCTGAATCCACCGTCATCGTGGCGCTAAGGCAGTGAACTCCACTTCAGTGGTGAGTTGTTTATGTAGCCTGTTTGGCGAGCGTCGAAGTCGTTAGAATTTACGCTAATTATCACTAATGGGTATGGCCATGTTAAAGTGCTAACTGTTTAAAGATAATGTGAGATTGTGGTATTAAAATGCTAATATGGCCACAATAAAGCTAGCGTGATACAGTCTATTGCCTGTGGAAAAGCTAATGAGTTTGTCTACTGGTTATAAAAGGGAAATGTTACTTTTCCATACTGTTACTGACTATGGGTTTTTGTTAAATGAATGATGACATTTCTGTTAAATTTAATTGTGTTTTATGTGTTTATAGGGATTAAAGGGGCCTATTTTTAGTTCATTCTCTCCACTGTTACCAGTGCAGGGAAGGATATTTAAGCACGTAAACGTCTTAATGCCTCAGAGTTACATTACTATAGACTTACTTACTTATACAGTAAGTCCTGTGAGGAAATAATTCATGTTGATGAATGTTAACTTGCACTATGCAATCTATGCCATTTTATTTATGATATTTACTAATGTAACTCAGTTTCTGTGAAACTTGGATTAGACTTTATTTTTATTAAAGTTTGTCTAATAACGTATTTACAGTTTTGATATCTGAGAAGAAATGTTGAACAACTAAACTGATATTTTGATTTTCCTTATGGGTTTACTGAAATATTAAGCTCTTTTTTTTCATAGTAGCCTGTAGCAATTGATTTGATTACAGAAAGATAATTGAGAGAAATTATCTGGCCTCATTTCGAGGTCAGGTTGTGGTGACAGCTGGAAATCATCGGACAGCCCAAGGTCCATTCCACAGAGGAATACGGATTCAGATTGTCCTCAGATCTAGATACTCACAGATTCCAGTGTTTCCAGATTGCACAGATTCCCAGTCCTGTTGGCTGGGTGGTGAGCCGGATCGTGACTGTCATTTTGACTTTAGAAGGATTTTCCCTTCCTTGCTCATCATGTGGTATGACAAACACTGACACAAATTCATAAGGGCCCCAACGGTTGAAAACCAAACTCAAGGGACAAAAAGGGTTTTCCTTTCGTTCGCACATCATTATTTTAGTTTGTTATTTTTCACATCTGTCATACCTGTTTATCTATGTATGTATGAACCATATTTTGTGTATTTAATATACAGGTTCAAATTTTCATTCTGGTGTGAAAATTCTTATTTTGATATTGGTCCACATTCACGTTGATGACAACATATAAGATCAAATTCTAATACTTTAGCCCATTTCTAAACTGTATGAAGGGCTACAGAAGCAATAGAAACAAATCAAAAAGAGCCGCAAGTGACAATTATAGGGGTTGAATCATTGAAAAATTGAAGTAGCATCAGCAACCATGTATCATTGTTGACCAGCAGAGACGTCTGAATGGATATGGAGGCCACTGCTGCTTCACTCAACACTGACGACACAAACCCGGTTGGACTGGATTGCTCATAACCAACATAACAGTGGGTTTGTGCGTTTTCATGTGGAGCAAGATGCTTTTGAGAACTTAACGAGTGTGGACGGGATAGTTTTTTTCAATAGAAGAAAAACCTCAGTTTTAGTTCCATGTTGCAGCGACTCTCACAATCTAACATACTCTGTTAGGTTCAGGTAAGATAAAGAGGAGGAGGAGTCTACAGTAATATGAACAGTTTTGACGTAATGTTCTTACATCATGTATTCTGTATCACATAGCTTTTTCATTCACGCTCAATCATTGTCATCAGCTGTTCACATCACTATCCAATAGCACTGCTCCACTCCCTCATAGTTAGCCTATCATATTGCTGCTGTCTTTTTTTAAATGTGGCTTTCTCTCTTCCACCAGATCATTCATGTCATTGTGTGTTTTTCCACCTCCACATCACCACCAAGCCTTCACAGTTTGGTCAGACACTTCATCCCATCAGCCTCAGATCACAGCATCACCCATCTTCCCCATCAACCCCAGTCTTCACAGTGTAATCAGCTACTTCATCAACAGCTGTGCAGCCATCATTTTCATACACATGAAAACAGAAACGGACACATCTTGTGATATTCAGTTAGTCAGTTTGTGTTAGGTGAGGGATGAAGGAGTTGGTTGAACTGTATGTGACAGTGGAAATAGATGGGAAAGTCCCCTGCTGTGTTTTTATCTGTCATTTGTTACCTCTAAAAAATGATGCATCCTTTAGCAGAGCAAATGTTTTGATATGAGACTGTACAAGAGTCACATTGCAAAATGTCTTTTAAAAAACAGAAGTGATGTTAGTGTGAGCGTTGAGTCTGAAGTGTGACCTCTGATGGGAGGAGCTGTGATACAGTTTGATGTTTGTTCATCACTGACTAGATTCTCACCTCTCGTGTCTTTAAAAAATATCATCACTTCTTCAAGTCTTCATATTCTTTGGGAACACGATGCCTGTTGGGTGTGATCATGATGCAGGGGATTTTGTACCTTCTGTGTTTTAATGACTTTACTACAAACGTAGAGATGCTTATTGTTTTGTACAACCAACAAAAGACAGTCAGCCATTTGTTGCTTCATTTCACACTTTATTCTCAAAGAGGTTGGGGTCCACAGGCCTCATGGTTTTTGTCACCTCAGAGCACATTGTGCTCTCTTCCTGTCTAACAAGTGATGTGATCCTCACTCACTCGTCTACTTCTGCAGACAGAAATGCTGCAGACAATTTTCCTTTTACTGAACTCATTATAATCATTAAAAAATCACAGGGACAGACCATTACTGATGAAGATTTTGGGATACAAGGGAACAAACAACAATGGCAACTCATCACATAACTCAATCTTTTATTGAATGAATGAAACCTTTATTGCCCCTAGGGGAATTTGTCTTGCACTGAGAGTATACAAACACAATATAAGTGACAAAAATGGTTGAAAACCAAATTCAGTACACCACATCAAAACAAATCATTACAAAAAATCTACCTAAAGCATCACATGATGACATGTAGGGATTTCTAAAACACATCACAAAAGAGATGCAGGGAGCCACAGAAGTGTTGATTCAGCAAAAGTAAATAGTAAGTAAAAGCAATATTAAGATGATAATTCAACTAACTCTCACCAACAAGCCATGCACAAGCCCAA